GTGAGAGAGTGAGTGTGAGAGTGAGTGTGGGTGTGTGTGTGTGTGAGAGAGAGAGAGAGAGTGAGTGTGTCTGTCTGTGAGATAGAGTGTGTGTGTGTGTGAGATAGAGTGTGTGCGTGTGTGAGAGAGTGTGTGCGTGTGTGTGAGAGAGTGAGTGTGGGTGTGTGTGTGTGTGTGAGAGAGTGAGTGTGTGAGAGTGAGTGTGTGTGTGTGTGTGTGTGTGTGAGAGAGTGTTATTGAGCAGCTGTTCGCTGTTTGTCCGGCAGACGGCGCTCGCGGGAACACACTCAAGAGTCGCGCGTTTATTAGCGCTATAACACAGAACTCTAGCGTTAAAAGCTTCGTTGATTCAGAGTCATCTCGCCATCAGAGCAATAATAACGCGCTCTGACAGCTGCGAAAGATTCGGTCTAATGAATCGATTCTCTCAGAGGAGTGAACTGAATCACGCGTGTTTCTCACCAGATCTCTGAAGCTCTTGTGTGTCTCTTCAGTGTTTCTGTCGTCTTGTGTCTCCTTGTCTGTCGTGTTGCTGTCGTCTTCTGTCGCCTGTGTGTTTTTCTTCTCTTCTGTTGTCTGTGTGTTATTCTCCTCTTCGGCTGTATTTGTGTTTTTCTCCTCTTCATCTACAGACGCTTCTCTCTGATCCGCCATGTTTGCGGCGCGTCACCCACGTGCTGCTGAAGCACCGCCCACAGCCGGAAGTGACGCAAGCACGCACAAACAGTATTATTTACAGAACGAATATTGTGGATTTGGACTCAAATTTGTTTGAACTCTTCAATATGAATTATATGGAAATACTTAATATAATGACACAACCCCTAAACATGAATTAAGTGACACTGAACAATAAAGACCGACAGTGAAACTAGCAGACAGCAGGGTAAATATTTAATAGTACTAAACTTATAAAAGTATCATTTTGGGGAACCGTTATGTGACTTTGGTTCAAACTAAATACATACTTTTACTCAATTATATTTACAATAAAAAAACTCCACTCTCCATTACAATTTCATGTAGGCTTAAAAGTACATGTTATGGTGATTTAATCTCTTCCTAATGACTTGGAAAGAGTATTTTATTTGTCTTAATGTGACCAACAAGCCAAATCACATTAATTGAACAGAGCTGTCATTTAAACAGCCAATCACAATTGTTTCAGTGAGACAGTGTTTGAATAGTTCATCAACATATAAATGTCAAAATAATAAATAAACCTGTATGACTTTCTTCAGTAGATCAATTAAACTGGATGGGGACCAAGTCACAAATATGACCAAAATGGCATCAAAACAGCACTTCATACAGGTCATATAATGTACAGAGTTTCGAGTTAAATATGTTTATATAGCACCATTAACAACAGCAGCAGCTGACCAATGTGCTTTACAGCATCAAATAAAATCAGTAAATAGAACATCTAAATAAAAAAAAGTAAATAAAATCACAGCTAAAAACCAAATTATATCGACATTTAAAAAATATAACAAAATACAAGAATTTTTTTAATTTTTTATTTATTGTTTTTTTTAATTTTTTATAGGAACCATGCATATTCATGAACATTGTTGTATAAATATACACCATGTAAATCTTCTGTCGTCTGTGTGTTTTTCTTCTCTTCTGTTGTCTGTGTGTTATTCTCCTCTTCGGCTGTATTTGTGTTTTTCTCCTCTTCATCTACAGACGCTTCTCTCTGATCCGCCATGTTTGCGGCGCGTCACCCACGTGCTGCTGAAGCACCGCCCACAGCCGGAAGTGACGCAAGCACGCACAAACAGTATTATTTACAGAACGAATATTGTGGATTTGGACTCAAATTTGTTTGAACTCTTCAATATGAATTATATGGAAATACTTAATATAATGACACAACCCCTAAACATGAATTAAGTGACACTGAACAATAAAGACCGACAGTGAAACTAGCAGACAGCAGGGTAAATATTTAATAGTACTAAACTTATAAAAGTATCATTTTGGGGAACCGTTATGTGACTTTGGTTCAAACTAAATACATACTTTTACTCAATTATATTTACAATAAAAAAACTCCACTCTCCATTACAATTTCATGTAGGCTTAAAAGTACATGTTATGGTGATTTAATCTCTTCCTAATGACTTGGAAAGAGTATTTTATTTGTCTTAATGTGACCAACAAGCCAAATCACATTAATTGAACAGAGCTGTCATTTAAACAGCCAATCACAATTGTTTCAGTGAGACAGTGTTTGAATAGTTCATCAACATATAAATGTCAAAATAATAAATAAACCTGTATGACTTTCTTCAGTAGATCAATTAAACTGGATGGGGACCAAGTCACAAATATGACCAAAATGGCATCAAAACAGCACTTCATACAGGTCATATAATGTACAGAGTTTCGAGTTAAATATGTTTATATAGCACCATTAACAACAGCAGCAGCTGACCAATGTGCTTTACAGCATCAAATAAAATCAGTAAATAGAACATCTAAATAAAAAAAAGTAAATAAAATCACAGCTAAAAACCAAATTATATCGACATTTAAAAAATATAACAAAATACAAGAATTTTTTAAATTTTTTATTTATTGTTTTTTTTAATTTTTTATAGGAACCATGCATATTCATGAACATTGTTGTATAAATATACACCATGTAAATATGCCAGAATTAGTAACAATAACTACTTTTCATCTGCAGTCCCTAGAACTGTAGGACTGCACTCAGTAAAACCAGACTTGCCATCCCAAATCAAATACAGAGGTGGATCATCAAGGGACACTGAAAGTAATGCAGAAGTAATGCGTTCTGAGTAGAGATTTAAAAACCTGTGAAGAAGGAGCAGATCTAACATGAACTGGTAAGTTATTCCAGAGTTTAGGGCCCACAACAGCGAAGGCACTAGTTAGTTAAACTAACGATTCTTTAGTCTAACTCTAGGAACAGTGAGCAGTCATAGTCATAGAGCAGAAACAGGATTTAACCACAGAAATGACCTGAATATCAAGTTTCAGCTCACTGTCAAGCAGAACACCTTTGGCTTGGGATGTAACAGAGTGATTACTGAGATATTGTAAGGGAATGCCACTATAGTGGGACCAAAAAGATTTTTAAATCCTTCGTACAAGCCAACAAAGTGTCAAAGGTGTTACTATCAGAGCGTTTAAGTGGCAAATAAATCTGGGTATCCATGCTTCCTGAAGACAGAGCGCAAAGGGAGCATATACAGAGAGAAAAGTGTTGGTGCTAGTATCGATCCCTGTGGGACCCCCATGGGAGATTAGCGGCCTTAATTTGCTGTAAAGTTGCTTTGCAATGATTTGTATCGTGAAAAGCGCTGTACAAATAAACTTGAATTGAATTGAAGATGTGTACTAGCGCCCCCTACAGTATAACAATGAAAACACGGATTCTAGGAGCACAATTATAGCTCAAATATATTTAGACTTTTTCTAAGTATAAGTCAAGTATACTGGAATGTCATTTTAAGTATATTTCTGAGAAGTACATAAGTCAACTAAAGGTATACTTTCCTATTTTTTAGTTTAAAAGACGTATACTAAAAGCACACTTGAATAAACTTATTTTTCGTAAGGGGAAAGATGCACGGCGCTGCCCTGTGAAAACATATGCAAACAGATGGACTAATATTATTAAGTATTTTCTATTTATTCAGAGATATTTTATAGTTTAGGCCGACTTTGACAGCTCTGTCATGGTCTGTTAAAGAGGTAAAATATTAGTTTTTTTTCTTTTATTAGTGACGATCTAAACTTCCAGATCTTACCAGTCATCAAAAAGCGTTAAAGGGACAGTGCATGAAATTTAATGTTTAATAGATATTCAAAGATTTGTTTTAATGATAGAAATGCATATTTGCTGAATGCCGGCGGCATTTGAGAAAGTATTATTATAGAGTTTGCCTTTCTATCACTAATAACAGAAAAGTAAATGCTGAAACACTTTTTTTTTGTACATTATTTACCTTCTTCTGTCTAATATAAATAAAAGCGTCTGATAAATGACTAAATAAATAAATAAATAAATAAATAGTAGACCAATTTGGAGCAGACGTCACAGCTACGTCACATGCAGCTGCGCGCGCATAGCGATGGCAGAAAAACACTGGGAACAAGTGGAGGGAAACGGGTAAAATCCACGGAATAAGAGAAAAATATATATATTGTTGTGCTTTTGGATGTCAGAATCGAAATGCAAATAATTTTGTATAATATTGTCGTCAAAGATGCCATTTGGAGCTAAACGCAGACGTTTAAACCAACAGACTATGGATGAAACCTGCTATGATTACCCTACTTTAAAGCATAAATTAGATTTAAACAATTGCTGTAAAGTTGCTTTGCAATGATTTGTATCGTGAAAAGCGCTGTACAAATAAACTTGAATTGAATTGAATTGAATTATAGCAGACCGTGGTCTCTGATCGGCAATCTTTTTGAGAAAAAAAACGGAGAAAATTGTCCGATGTTTAGGAAGAGGATACTGTATGACAATTATCATGAGGATTGAGAACCGAGTCAATAATAGAAAAGAGAGCCTTCGGCTTATGAAAGTTTTGATTAATAATGTCAGAGAAAATTGATTTAGAAAATTAGCCAATGCAGCCTGCCCTGCAATACTTCATAATCAACTTGAAGTTTAGATTTCTTCCATTGTCATTCAGCTTGTCTACAGTTCCTGCGGAGAGAAAGTGTGTGGTCATTTAACCAGGGCCAAAGAGTTTAGGAGGAGAGTAGATCGAGGCCAATACCAATCATCCATGAGCTATGTGTATAGCTATTAACTAATCATAACTATAATGATAACTGCACTAGCGTTCACATTCTATCTCTTTAAATGCTCAAGCGCTTTAAAATCGATGGATTCTGATTGGCCGTCGATGAGTTTAACACTCTGAAGGAGATTCCAATGACATCATTCCTCGTTGTGTCGTTATCCTTATAGTTGTGCGGAGGACGCCTTTCACTTTTAGCATGATTCTTAAAACTATCCTTATTATCTTTATAGTTATAGTTTTAGTCATTCCTGGTGTAAACAAGCATTAACACGGTTATTACATGTTTAAAATCAGCTTTTTATCTGGGTGTGACTGACATCCTAACAAACCATACATCGATGGAAAGCTTATTTATTCAGCTTTCAGCTGATGCATCTCCATTTTTGTGGTCCAGGGTCACAAATAATGTTATTTTTAGCATCATCATATGAGCCCTTTAAAGGTGGTTTGATGATTGCAAAATGATGTATTTTGGTTGAATATAATTAAAGTACCCCATATGCATAATTCCACCACAGTGTGATGGGTTATTTCTAATGACCTGCGAAGCATTTGCTGTAAAGATGAACTGACAGACTGAAGAGCAGCGGAGTTTGACATCTGGCGTTTATTCACATCTCTGAAGATAAAACACAATCTGGTGAATGTGCAGAAGCTCACAGCAGCCCCTCCATCTCACGCATGAAGGCCTCGTACATCTGGTCCTTGGTCTTGAGGCCGGGTGGCGCGGCGCCAGGCGGCTGACTGGGTTTGGCCGCGGCCGCTGGTTTGGGCGGCTCCTCGTCTCTGCGGCCCGGGGCCCGGTCCCTGCGCACGCGGAGCGCCGTGGGCACGAAGCGTGTCACCTCCGTCTTGGGGTTGATGATCTGCGGCTTGGCCGAGATGGTGGCTCCGCCCGGTGGGGCCAAGGACGTCCCGGGGCCCGAGACCATGGCCCGCTTCTCGATGGTGGCCGTGGTGCCGGGGGGTGGCGGCATCTGGTGGGCGGAGCCTCGGGCAGGTGGGGCCATGGGGGTGGAGTCGCTGGAGGAGCCTGTCACCACGGGCGACTTCTGCCGGATGCTGGGCGGAGCACTGAGCACATTGGGATTGAGCGGAGGCGGGAACAGAGAGAGGGGCGGAGCCATGCGGGGCGGAGGGGGCGGGGGCATTCCTGCAAATCAACACAAAACACACAAACCCATCGTTAAAACTAGTCAACATTTCAGCAAACAAACAAATAACAAATCAGCCAATCCAGCAATTTTTGGTTATGATGAAAAATTGTTTTGGACGGACGAAATCATTGACTGAAACTAGGGGTCAAGTCAAGTCACCGTTATTTATATAGCGCTTTTTACAATGCAGATTGTGTCAAAGCAGCTTTACAGTATTAAGCAGGGAAATAGTGTGCTGTTCTCCTCTGGCCAGACGAGACCAGCAGATTAATTCTAGGCTGCAGCAAAGTCAGATTGTGCAGAGGACTCATCTGGTTCCCGTGGTCTTGTCCTGATGGCTGTCTAGGTGTCTGCGATAATATTGTAATTGTTTTAACGATGTGCGATTTGACATTATCGAGTGTATCGCAAACACCAAACAAAACCGTGCACGCACACATTACGTGATGAAGTGCGTTTTTGTTACAAACAGCAGCCGGGGGCGTCTTTTGTTGCTATAGCAACAGCAGCAACAGTAGCCTAGTGCTGTGTGCTTCAGAAAATGTCAAGAAAGTTGGCTCTTGCGTTGGGTTTTGAAGTTAACGGGGAGGAGAATGTCGGTTCACAACGACGTTTGTGGGTGCGCAACATTATACTGGGGAGGAAACAGTAAGGTGCTTACAACAGTTTAGTCCAGGAGCTCCGGTGGATGATGCACGGTTAGCAGCAGATTTTAGATTAGATAGAGTTTTGTGCTCATATACAACTCCTTGTGCTCAGAAACTAGTACGATCTATCTCCCGGCTATCTTCTCCATTTTTCTTGCTGTTTCTGTTGAAACGACTCGCTACTCGCTTGTGATTGGTCAGCTGTCAAAAAGGCGGTTGACGTAGGGTGTGAATCGGACTGAATTCATTTGGACAGCTGAATGATGTTAAACAACAGTACAGTGCATTTCACTCACAGTCTCGTTTCATTCCTGTCAGAAATTAAATAGAGATTCAGTATCTGCGGGTGTTAGTGTACCTGTGCGTCGAGTGTTAGCGTACAGCTGCAGGACCTGCGGCGGAGGCGGCCCCGGCGGGGGTCCCGGGGGCTTGCGTCCCGGCGGCAGGCGAGGAACTCCAGCTAGAGCGGCCGCTGACAGCGCTGAGCCCTTCCTGAAACATACGAGTGAACACACATTGACAGTCTCTCCTGCGCTACGGTTCCCTGAACAAACACAGCGACTGACACACTGAACACATGTCATGCACAGGTTAATGAATATGTGAATCAGGTTAGGGTTCATATAAACTGAAGTAAGTATCAGAATCTGAATCGGACTGAATTCATTTGGACAGCTGAATGATGTTAAACAACAGTACAGTGCATTACACTCGCAGTCTCGTTTCATTCCTGTCAGAAATTAAATAGAGATGTCTCTTTAAAGAGAAAGAGGATGTGCGTTAACGAATCGCTGCTTCATATACTACAGCAAACTCTCATTAATGATCTCCAGTAGAGCTGTTGAGAGATCAGCCATGAGACGGACACTTACTTTAATGATGGTTATTATTAATCTAACATCTAGTTGTGTGTGTGTGTGTAAGTATATATGTGAGTATTTATGAGTGTGTATGCATGTATGAGTGTCTGTAGAGTGTGCGTGTGTGTGTGTGTGCGTGTGTGTGTGTTTGTAGAGAGTGTGTGTGTGTGTAAGTATATATGTGAGTATTTATGAGTGTGTATGCATGTATGAGTGCCTGTAGAGTGTGTGTGTGTGTTTATAGAGTGTGTGTGTGTGTTTGTAGAGAGTGTGAGTGTGTATGCGTATGAGTGTGTGTGTGAGTGTGTTTGTAGAGAGTGTGTGTGAATGTGTTTGTAGAGAGTGTGAGTGTGTGTGTTCTGACCCGAGTGCGGAGCTCTTCTTCAGGATGGAGGGCGGCTGAGCTCCAGGAAGGGGAATGTCCTGGATGAGGATGCTGGATAAGTATATATGTGAGTATTTATGAGTGTGTATGCATGTATGAGTGTCTGTAGAGTGTGCGTGTGTGTGTGTGTGCGTGTGTGTGTGTTTGTAGAGAGGGTGAGTCATGGTCAGTATACTTATTTAAAAAATGAAAAAAAGTTAAAACAGGGGCTATGAGAGATTTTATCCTGACAGTATGAGAGAGATTAGTATATCTGTGTGTGTGTGTGTGTGTGTTTGTAGAGGGGGTGAGTCATGGTCAGTATACTTATTTAAAAAATGAAAAAAAGTTAAAACAGGGGCTATGAGAGATTTTATCCTGACAGTATGAGAGAGATTAGTATATCTGTGTGTGGTGAGTGAGTGTGTGTGAGTGTGTGTGTGTTTGTAGAGAGTGTGAGTGTGTGTGTTCTGACCCGAGTGCGGAGCTCTTCTTCAGGATGGAGGGCGGCTGAGCTCCAGGAAGGGGAATGTCCTGGATGAGGATGCTGGATGGAGCGTGAGGCATGTCTGGAAGAGGAATACTGTCCACCTCCACGGACTCAGCGTTCTGATGGACACACACTCTCAGAGCTGAACTCATTTCTACTGACAACACTAACATCACAAATTCTGTATCTTTACAGCATCACAATCTCTGATGCATGTTAACCCTATAAAGCTACTGTATCATATTTGATGTGTTTCTCTGAATGATCAACAGTTTAGAGTTTTTTTTATCCAGTCAAAGTTCTTTTAGTGTAATTGTTCAAATGTCCAGCTTCAGCTGCTGCTTCTCGTGTCAAATCTTCTCTGATTTTTATCAAGTAAGCGTCAGAATAACTGCAGTAATATCTCCAGATGAACACTTACTGGACTGAAGCAGCTCGGCTTTACTTGATTCTCCATCAGTCATTTTCTAGAAGAATCAGTGCGTCTCTCTCTCACACACACACGCTCTCTCACACACACACGCTCTCTCACACACACACGCTCTCTCACACACACACGCTCTCTCACACACACACGCTCTCTCACACACACACGCTCTCTCACACACACACGCTCTCTCACTCTCCCTCCCCCCCGCCCCCTCTCACGCTCTCTCACACACACACGCTCACTCTCACTCACTCTCACTCACTCTCACTCACGCTCTCACTCTCGCTCTCACGCTCGCTCACTCTCGCTCTCACGCTCTCTCACACACACACGCTCACTCTCACGCTCTCTCACACACACACGCTCACTCTCACTCACTCTCACTCACGCTCACTCTCGCTCTCACGCTCGCTCACTCTCACACGCTCACTCGCACGCTCACTCGCACGCTCACTCACACGCTCACTCACGCTCTCACTCACACTCACGCTCACACTCTCACACGCTCACTCACACTCACGCTCGCTCACTCTCACTCACACGCTCACTCACACGCTCACTCACTCTCACGCACACTCACACGCTCACACTCACACGCTCACTCACACACACACGCTCACTCACTCTCGCTCTCACGCTCGCTCACTCTCACACGCTCACTCACTCTCGCTCTCACGCTCGCTCTCACGCTCTCACACGCTCACTCACTCTCACACTCACACTCACACTCACTCTCACTCACACTCACGCTCGCTCGCTCTCACGCTCGCTCGCTCTCACACGCTCACACGCTCACTCACTCTCGCTCTCACGCTCGCTCACACTCTCACTCACACTCTCACTCACACTCTCACTCACACTCACACTCTCACTCACTCACACACTCTCTCACTCTCACACACACACACTCACTCACACACACACACACTCTCTCACACACTCACTCACAAACACTCTCTCTCACACACACACACACACTCTCTCACACACACACCCATCTCGTCGAGTTTCTCCATATCTTTGATGATCTGACGTGGGTCCTTCATCTTCAGCACTGCTGCTCGGACCATCATCCTCTGCTTCTTGTTCTACAATAAACACACACACACACACACAAACACAGGTGTCAATCCGAGCACAGGATCAGTGCAGCACGCGACACCAGCGCTCTGTGCTAATATTACACACGTTACACATGTCTCTGCTGACAAACATTCATTACTACAGAAAACTACAGTTATTCTCCAAACACTGCACAACACTGAGATTAAACACACATATACGTCTGTAACTGTGATGCTCGTGTTCACTAACGGTCTGCTAATCACGCTGTAAACAGCACACAGACTGAGAAGTGTGCACTAACCAGTCCAGAGCTCAGCAAGAAGTCACCTGGACCTTCATACTGTATGTCAGGAGTGTCTGTATTCAAAAGCATCTGTCTAGAGGTCAGAGGTCAAGTACGTACCTTCTTCAGCTCTCTCTTGCGCGCCTCCTTCCCTA